CCGAAGTTCCTCACACTAATGGTAGCTTTGTAATTTGTTCACGCCAGCGATTTGTGCTGGACACAGAAGGCAGGTCCCGGAGGAGGAGGGTGGTACTGAAAGGGAAGAAGGAAGGTGGGAAGGTAAGTTCCAAGAAGTCAAAAATATGTTCTGTTCACTGCTACATCCTCAGATCTGTCTAGATATCACTGGGCACAGGGCAGGCCTTCAATAAGTACTTGTTCAGTAAATGCATACATCTCTGTACAATGTTATTGACTGGAAAAATAAATTCTCCCCTTTCTCCTTCAAGAATCAAAGGGCAGGAGTCTTAGATTAAAAGTCTTCCATTTCTTGCTACACTACTGCCCACCTCTCCCCAGGCTGCTTCCCCGTGGGACATACCAGCTAATGACCGATCAAGCCACAAACCAAGTCCTGAGCTTCTACCCAGGCTTAGCCATTGTTATAAAAGAACTTAACTATGTCTCATATTTACAGACTGCCAAAAGAAGTTTATTTGGCAAACCCTCTAATACACTCTTGAAGATTGCACGTTTTAAGAGGAACAACAAAATAAGTACACTACAACATTAAAACAGTTCAGTATCTTCCTAGTCTTTATGTTTAAATCGGAAAACAACATCCCAGATGTTAATTACAATGAAATACATACATGTAAATTATTACCATCTTTTTTATGAGACAAATGTGATTTATGGACGGTTGTCACAGTGATTAGAGAACACATGTGAACAATTAATTTAAAATGTTGTGTCCATCAAGCCGACCTTTGTTATCATATCATTTTTCATCAGGAATGTTGATTTGTTTCTTTAAATTGGATTTCACTATATGGTATTCATGAGCAGGACAAAAAGTTTTTGACATTTTCACACGATCAGTGGGCTTACTAAGCTGGTTCATTATATTAAGCTAAAGATTAAATTCATTACCTCCATCCATATATTGTAGAACTGTAAAGTGGAAAGAAACACATTGCTGCTATATATTTAAAACACTGGGAAAGTAAGCAACACTATATTTTTCTGTGCTTTTTCACACATTATAACTTTACTAATCTAATTTGGACTTGAGAAGCTAAATTATTGCCTTGGTCTATAGGCCTGAAAGCAATTAATCTTCCAAGTTTTTATGTGAAAATTAAAAAGACAAAGAAATATTCTGTACTATTACTGAAATGAAGCAAAGTAAACTAATCAACTACACCAGGCTAAAAAGAAATAATGTTCAGACAGCCTGAAATAAAATAATAGACATCATTATAGTAAAGCCTTAACTGGAATACATTTTAAAGAAGACTAAGAGAAAATTTATGAACAAAATAATGCAGACTTTTTTTGTCTTAAAATCAAAAGCCGAACAGAGTAAAAGAGCTTTCTGAGGTCTACATAGTCAAAGAATTGTATAATTTTCTAAATACTTTTACAGGTGAAATATCCTATTAAAGCATTAGCAGTTCTATTTAGTAACTGATACCATAACCTGAAATCATATAATGTGTGTGTGTGTGTGTGTGCATGCACACATATATTGGCACACGCACCTGCCTGCATCTGTGCCATGGAGGGATGTAGACCTAAGGCTCTAACTCCCCTGTGCAAATTTGACTTTTAACCTGAGCTGTAGGTGATGAATAGTTAAGATGGCACACATGTTTCCTGATAGACCCAAGAGGTTTGGGGTAGGAATGGGCTAAGGTCAACTGTAGCTGGGTCCCACAGATGTCTTGCTATCTACCATCACTATATAGCTGTATGGTTTTTAAAGGAATTCAAATTTGGGGTTGAGAACAGCAAAGGAGGTTGGAAAAACACAAGAGAAACCAAGAAACATTTGTTCAGGTTTAAGAGGTTCTTGCACCCTGGCCAGTTTGGCTCAGTGGTTAGAGCATTGACCCACGGACCAGAGAGTACCGGGTTCGGTTCCGCTAAGAGCATGTACCTCAGGTGCAGTTTGTCCCCAGCCCCGGTTGGGGTTGTGTGGGTGGCAACCACTCGATGTGTCTCTCTCACATCAATGTTTCTCTCCCTCTTCCTCCTTCTCTCCCTCCTGCTCTATCTGAAGATAAATGCAAAAAAAAAAACAAATGTCCTCGGGTGAGGATTAAAAAAAAAAGGTTCTTGCCACTGAAAGTCAAGAACAAGCTAGAAGGTCCGTGGCCAGTGAGCAGAGAGAGAGAGGAGATAAAAATGAGGGAATGAGTTAGAAGCCACCCAAAAAACTGGGGGTTAAGAAGACCACCAACATAGGTAAGTGCTCTGTTCCTGGATCTATCTTACTTTAGCTAATGACCTTGGTCAACACCACAATATTGTCTTGGTCTTTGTGTTTTTACTTTTAAAAAAGAAGCCATACTGTATGATCTGCCCAACTCACTGAGACAGCTGGGAGAATAAGAAAGTGGTTGAAGAAGTTCAGGGACAATATCAACAAGTTTATTGATGAGAAGTTTATTGTTCTATTGTTCTACTTTTAACACATAAACCAGGTGATTGAAATCAAATGGAAAACAATTCAATTGCATCAAATGTTGTTGTACACCTTTAAACTTATATGACTTTACATATCAATTATATTTCTATAAAACTTGGAGTGGGCCCTGGCCGGTTTGGCTTAGTGGTTAGAGCATCGGCCTGCAGTCCAGAGAGACTGGGGTTCGGTTCCCACTAAGGGCACGTACCTCGGTTGCGGTTTGTCCCCGGCCCTGGTTGGTCATGTGGGTGGCAGCCACTCGATGTGTCCCTTTCACGTCAATGTTTCTCTCTCTCTCTCTCTTCCTCTCTCTCCCTCCCACTCTATCTGAACAACAACAACAAAAAACTTGGAGTAGGGGGCAAGAAAATAGCTAGCTAAAGCATATCTGGTGAGATTATTTGTCAGCAACTAATCATTTGGTTGAAACAGTTTGCTTGTTTTTCACAGTATTTACCAATTTAAAGATGCCTGAGAACAGCTTATACCCGCACTACTCAGAAATAACCTAAAATTCCATAGGTTACCATTACAAATATAAAAATACATATGACACTATAATTGATAATAGAACAAAATTATTTTTTTAAAGGAGCTGGAGGGAAAAAGACATTGGGAAAGAAAAATCCTGGAGAGAAGTATTTTCTGGAATATTACTCACAAATAGAGAGACGGCTCCATTTTGGCATGCCCCTACAGCCAATACACACAGCATATTCAGTGAACAAATGCTTACTTAAAAGAATTTTAAAAACCCTGATATGGCCCAGCTGGTGTGGCTCAGTGGACTGAGCATCGTCCCATGGACTGAGAGGTCCCGGTTCGATTCCAGTCAGGGCACTTGCCTGGGTTGCCTGCTCAATCCCCAGGGAGGGGCATGCAGGAAGCATCCAATCGATGTATTTCTCTCACTTCGATGTTTCTATCTCTCTCTAAAAAAATCAATAAAAACATATTTAAAAAATATATATGATATGATTCCTCCCTGCTCCATCTCCAACGAGTGTTTCACGCAGCATCACACCAGATCACTAACATTCAAATTCTCCCTATTTCTGGGAGCAGCACAGACTCATGATAAACACAGAAGTATAAAAGCTATTATGGATAATTTTCTTTCATTTACTTTTAACAGCAGGCAAAATCAGCCTGCAGTACAAAATAATAATAATAATACCAGGAAAGGAGAGAGTAGAGAAATTGTCAACCATAAAAAAAACGTCATCAAGTTACAATGACATGACTTTTCTCCTTGCCTCCAAATACTATATATGAAAATAGGGCTTAGAAACATCCAGAATGTAACAGCGAAATAAGAATTCAAAAAGCAATGTTTTGAGGTCTTTTTAACCCTTTGAACTCACTGACCACGGAGGAGGAAAACAGAGCAAAGTGAAGCTTTAGTGAAACAGCGCTACTTTCTCGCTGCTGTGAATTAGCTTATTGTAACAAGGTCCCTCTGTTCTCGGATAGTGCTGGGAGAGCAAGGAGAGGACAAAACCAGGTTTAAGGAGACTTTAAGCTGGATCAGGAGAAACAAGGAAACCTCTCATTTTTCCTTCCAAGATTCAAAAAAATTCCAACTACAATAGCACCCTCTTTCTTGCTACATTAACTTGGAACGTCCTGTTGCGCTTTCCAGGGACCCTGTAATCGGAACCAGACAGCGGAGACAGCTCCCCTCCGGTCCAGGCACAAGCCCTGGACCCCGGGCTGGGCTGACTCACCTCCAGACACGCAGCCGCACTGCCCCCTCACTGCGCTGCTGCCTGAGGGGCCAGCCCAGTGCGGGCGCCCCTCCCCTGACCCGTCACTTCCCAGCGTACCCGTGGGTGCTGCTCATTTCTTTAAATGCGTGGAAACGCACTTAATTGCCAACAATGAAATATCACGACAGAGATCCGTGATGGCGCCAACATTGATGTGATTTATTGCTGTTTGCTAGTAAGGTAGTGACGATTTCCATTGTAAACCAAAGTATATAAATAGTACGGGTTGTTATTTTTTTAATTAAATAAATTCTGTCGTGTGCTTGTAAAAGCAAGGTACTATAATTCTTATTTTAAAAAGTAATCTTGAAAAACAGAAGTTTAGAACAATCTTACTTTATAGATATTTACATATCCATACTACTATATTTAAACACCATTTTCTATTTGCAATTATGTATTATGTAATTAGTTTAAATACAAGAAATGTACATTTTTATTTCTTAAAGAAATTATTTTTAGTTCTAATGTGCTTTTGAAGAAATCAAATTGTAGTTAATTTCCATACAAAAAAATGATACTTAACTATACAATAATTTCATCTTATAATTTAAGAACCTAGACATTTGTTAAATAATTAAATTTGATTCAATAATTTCCAGAAGAAAAAAATTTAATGTCAGATCCAGAAATACTGGAAAGAAATTTTTAAATATCAGATCCAGAAATGCTCTAGGGAAATTTCCTACTTGATTTTGATTATTTGTTCTCCAAGTCACGTGTGTTTTTACGGTGCGCCAGAGAAACCAGTCTCACCTGTTTTTGATTGTAGGTTTCTCCTCGGTTCTTCGGGGGCCTCAATTGGCTGATCAGCCAGGAAAACTCGAGCTTGGTCTATGGCATTCAGGACAGAATATTCCTTCTCCTTTAACTCACGTCTCAGGGCCTTTGCAAAGAGAAGCAAACGTTGAGTTTATAAACTAATGTGTTTAGCAAGTAATGGAACATCTTAAACTAGACTACTTCCCACCCCACTTGTCATGGGAATGACTAATAACCCGCATTTAAGCCAAGTTAAAGGTAAAAAATGTAAATTTTACGCATATGAGCAATGAAACATGAATAAAAGTAAAAAGATGATTCTTGTAGAACTTAAATATGCAAAAAACCCACTTTATAAAAAAGTGTGACAGTGTATTTGAACTTATACAAAATGTGCTTTTAGGTCTATCACTACTGTTAGAGAGCTAAAATATATCAGCCTGCTCTAAAACACTTTTTTCTAATAAGACGGACTGACAAAATAATTATATCCAATGGTACAGAAGAAGGCAATTTCACAAGTAGTAATGAGCTCCTCAGAAGTGTTTTACAGTCTTTAGAATATATTAAGAAAAAAAAATTAAGAGATTGAAGTAAATTAAAGTACATGGAATCAAAACTAAACCAGAGAACACGTAAAAGACAGTCTCTAATTATGTTGAAATATGTTCCATTTCTCATGCAGAGGCAATTACAATTTTTCCCCAGTAAGGTTTTTCATGCAAATCTATGATTCTCAGAAAAGTCTGTCTTCTCTACATTTACTCTTCTAAGTAGGGTTAAACTTTCACCCTGTTCCTGCAAAATGTTCGGTGATTAAAACTCTAACTGGCTAGAATTTTAAAAGAACAAAACTCAGCCCATGACTATTGCAGGATAAAAGTAAATGAAGATTTTCTCCTGTGCTACTTTATTTTAATACTGGAGCTAAATCAAAATTGTCATTAGTACTGTTATCCTCTTCAGTTACGGTACAGAAACACCTCCTGGCTCTAACATTTTGCTTTTAATGCAGTTCCCTGACAATACATTATAAAAATTCATTTTCTAAAATAGCACACTCTAGTAGGACTGGAGAATCAATACATTCTTTCCTTCTGAACACAACATAGAATTTGACATAACTATGTTGGAACCATGAGGTATTTCCAGGCTAAAGACTCATTTTCCACAGTACATAAAAGTAAATATTAAAAATCTAGAAATAGCCCAGCCAGAGTGACTCAGTTGGCTGAACATTGTCCTGTGCACCAAAAGATTATCTGTTCAATTCTGGTCAGGGCACATGTCTGGGTTACAGGTTTGGTCCCAAGCTGGGACACATACAGAAGGCAACTGATTGATGTTTCACTCTCACATCAGTGTTTCTCTCCCCCTTTCTCTCTCCTTTCTTCTCTCTGTTAAAAATCAATAAAATATATATATATATTTTTAAAAAGTGATAGCAAGAAGAAACTCAAAAAAACATTAACAACAAATGTAGAAATACTGGAATATTCATCTGATTAAAAAAACAACAACAACATGAGCTAAACACCAGAAAACGCTGGTAATGAAGTTGAAAAAGACCATCACACTTGGGAAGGGATGAGGAAAGCTTGTGAGCAGTAGGCTGAGATGGAGGGACAGAATGCTGGTTTTTGTGATAAGCATTGTAAATATCTTTGACTTTTAAATTATATACAATTATGACTTCGACTAAAAATTTAAAATAAAAGAATAAAAGTGAACACCAACTCATGACTTAGATGCACTAATAATGTACAGGATATGAGATGAAATAAAACTTTCTCCAAAATCCATAAATACCAGTTATGTGTCCTTTCTATTGTTTATATAACCACAAAGACAGACCATGAAGCAAGCACAAGGCAGTAAATTCCAGCTCAGTTATCACCAATGAGCACGAAATCACAATGTTGGGGGAAAAAAACGACAAAAACCTCCACCATTTCTATTTAAGAAATGCAGGCTGTGCCCAGCCTGTGTGGCTCAGTGGACTGAGCGTTGTCCCATGGACTGAGAGGCCACAGTTTGATTCCTGGTCAGGGAAAATGCCTGGGTTGTGGGCTCAATCCCCAGTGGGGGGCATGCAGGAGGCAGCCAGTCCATATTTCTCTCTCACATTAATGTTTCTCTCTCCCTTCCTCTCTCTCTCAGAAAATTAACAAAAACATATTAAAAGATCTTTCTTGTCCGGATGGTGTGGCTCAGTGGTTGAGCATCAACCCATGTACCAAGAAGATGCCATTTTGATTCCCAGTCAGGGCACATGCCCAGGCTGTGGGCCCAATCCCCAGTGGGGGGCATGCAGGAGGCGGCCAATCGATGTTCTCTCTCATCGATGTTTCTATCTCCCTCTCACTTCCTCTCTCTCTAAAATAAATAAAGGAAAAAAAAATTTTTCTTAATCTTTCTTTCTTAGAGCTGCACAGTATCCCACTGTGTAAATGTACCACAGCTTTTTAATCCACTCCTCTACTAATGGACACTTGGGTTGTTTCCAGATCTTAGCAATTATAAATAGTGCTGCTATGAACATGGGGGTACATATATTCTTTCTGATTGCTGTTTCAGGCTCCGTAGGCTATATTCCTAGAAGTGGGATCACAGGGTCAAATGTCAGTTCTATTTTTAATTTTTTGAAGAAACACCATAGTGTTTTCCATAGTGGCTGCACCAGTCTGCATTCCCACCAGCAGTGTACTAGAGTCCCCTTTTCTCCACACCCTCACCAGCACTTGTTTGAGGATTTGTTGACGGCGGTCATTCTGGCAGGTGTGAGGTGATATACAGCTGTAAGAAAGAAAGCTCTCTTACCCTTTGAGATAACACGGAGGGACATGGAGAGTACTATGCTGAGCGAAATAAGCAAGTCAGAGAAAGACAAGTACCACATTATCTTACTCATTTATGGAATATCGTGGACAAAAGAAGCAGTTGATCAAAATATATCCAGAGACATGGAAGTAGGGAACAGACTGACAATACTCAGGGGGAAGGAAGGTGAGGTGGAGTTGGGAAGAGATAAATCAAAGAACTTACATGCATGTATGCACAACCAATGGACACAGACAATAGTTTGGGGAACGCAGGAGGGGGGTGGGAGTAGCAAGGAGGGGGTCAATGGGGGAAAAAAGGAGGGACATCAGTAATACTTTCAATAATAAAGATAAATAAATAAATAAATAAATAAATAAAATTAGAAAAAATAAAAAAGTAATACAGGATGCATAGAAGTCCCAACGTGTGACATCACAGGGAAATAAGATGATCTTCGGACATTTAAAGTTTCTGATATACAGAAATAAAGGAGACAAAAAAAATGTGGAAAATATATTTGCAATCCAGAAATACAGGGTGTCCCAAAAAATGTGTATATAACTTTGAATAATTATACAGCCAATGTTTATTAAAATACATTTCATTTTCAAAATGTAATAGAATCTACAGACACCCTGTGTATATTTTTGGGGGACACCCTGTATTTATACACACTTACTTACAGGTCTTGAATCAATTATTCCTTTAACATAGATTAATGTTAGAGCTCCAGATGAATAAAAATACTCTCAGTGTTTACATCTAAAACCAACTAGAAATATAAAATGATGATATGAGAAAACATGTTGCCTAAAAGATAGTAGTGAAAAACAGGAAATGTGGCAGAAGTATTTCTAAAAATTGTAGTGGTCAAGAGTATGTTGCCCCCAATTCCAAACCTGACTAGCGACTGTGGGAGCAGTGAAGAGTTTTTAAATGATGTTCAAGGGCTGTGCAGCTGTCCCCTTTTGGAAAGGGAAGGACCAGGAACACACCTACTGAATGCAAGCTGGCAGAAGGCCCTGGAACACCTCACCCTGGTTTATCAACTAGGATGAAGGACTCACCGACAGTATTTAGAGACTTGGCACAAATGAGAAACCAGGAAACGCCAGCTGGTTGATGACGTGGAGGGAAGGGAAAAGTTAAGAGAAGGCAGGACATGAAGGAATGTGACTCAAAGAAGAAAGAACAAAAGTAGGACTTGTCCTGAGGAAACAACTATGGGTGAACCCAGATCTTCTGATGGAGAAAGAAGATATGATTCACATGACTTGGGGGAACGGAAGTTTCTAGATTACTACGAGTCCTCAAAATGTGCATTGGGTAGGGGAGAGGGGCGGGGAGATGGCAAAGCGAGATTTGTCTTGAGAATACTTTCAGAATTTCAAAAATCCAAATGGGAAAATACAGTTGTCTGCAGAAAGGATGCCGGGGAACTGACCTGTCAACTTCCTCGATGGCTGGAACTTGGTCTGTTTCACAGGATGCTCTCACCGGGACCTCCTCTCTGCCTGCCAGTTGGCTCGGTCTAGAAAGCTCTTCCCCAGACACCCACCTGGCCGATTCCCGCATCCCGTGAGGCCTTCTCAGCGAGGCCAGCCCACCCACCTTGTTTAACGAAGCCGTCCACTTTCCACTGCCTGTCCCACCCAATTACTCTGCCTCCCGCCGGTGTATTTCCTACGCCTATCACCCTCCACTGCGCAAGGCAGACATTCCGCTATTATGTTTAATGTGCACTTTATGTCTCTCAGATAAAATACAGTCTCCCCAAGGCCAAGGACCTTTTCTGTGCTTGTGAGAACGGCACCCACCTCGATGCCTTGGGATCTAGGAGGTCTGGGAGATCTGGGATCTAGGAGAGCTCGGGTGGCGTCTGAATTATTGCGTCTTGCAGAAAGACAAGGGTACTCCCAACAGAGGAAACTAGACACAAGCAGAATGAGAGCGTGTGACTGAGCTCAGGGAACAGCCACCATTTAACGCAGATAAAGTAGCAGCAGCCGAGGTTGGAGAGGTGGGCAGATGATGGCAGTAAGGACCACTGCACAGTGTCCTGGGCATCCCAGGCAACCAGCAGTGGGCGCTGCGAACCACTGAAGAGCTGGACAAAGGGGAGGGGAAAGAGGATTCCGATTCGCATTTTTGTTTTCTTACAATATCATCGCCAGGTCTCCTAGATTCATGAAAAACAAATCTGAGTCTGGGAAGGCTGCACAGGAAAGGAGAATCAAATGTTCCTTCCTGACCACATTCACCTCCAGCACTTCATGAAACAATCTGCTCTGCACAGGGTGT